GGGCAAACGAGCATGCGGCTCACCTGACAGTAAGTGACTACCGCCGCCCATGAACAACTGCTACACCAGGAAGGGAATTGCAGATGCGTTGCCGGCCTTTTAAAAAGGAGTACGCCCTTTTCTTGAAGGTCCCTAAGTCGTATCGGTCCGGAAAAATCGCTGATGGCAATCGATTACACAAGGAAGTCATGCGAGGAAGAAAACATCTTCTAAATCGCACAGTGGTGGACCGCCAATCATCCAGATGGTGTGGATGGTATCGGGAGTTCTACCGCGATGTGCGTTCATGAAATTTGGTGGCTGGAATTAATCCGAACAATTCCTCAGAGCACTCCCCATGGTAGATGCGAAAGAAAATGCAAAGGGATGCAACATCTCTTCGCAGTGCCAATGAATCGAGCCGATCGGAAAGGGCTCGGTCGTCGACGATTCGAGCCGCTCTGCGCTGGATGCGGTCAAGTGGAAGGAGCTGGCACTGGGGAGCCCCTGCCCAGAGATGGGAACAGTATTCCATGTGAGGCCGAACCTGCGCCTTGTAAAGTTGCAGGCAGTGTGCCGGCATGAAATACTGTCCCGCTCTGCTGAGCACGCCAAGCTTTTTAGAGGCCAATTTGGTCTTTTCTTCCAAGCGACCACGAACCTGCACGTCACTCGATATGTCCACTCCGAGGATTCCGACACTAGCTGAGGCAAGAAGGGAAGTGCCTTGAAACTTTTAAAACAAAGGGGTTCTTTTTAGCAGTAAACGCGCAAACTTGTGTCTTCTGAGGATTAAACTGGACTAGATTTAGTCGCCCCCAATCCGAGACTTTGTTCAGCAAAGACTCGACTTCAGACACAAGTTTGTTCCGGTACTCGGCGACGTTTTCCCGAGAAATATTGGCACGGCTGGTGTATAGAACATCACCAGTGCTGTCATCCGCATAGCAATGAATGTTACGAGTTAGCAACATATCATTGATACGCAGAAGAAACAGCGTTGGTGATAGCACACAGCCTTGTGGAACACCAGCGTTAATAGGCTTGTAGTCAGAGCATGCACCGTCTACAACGACCTTGATGCTTCGATCTGCAAGGAAGTTGGTGATCCAATTGCTCAATTTTTCGGGAAGCCCATAGGAAGGGAGCTTCGAAAGAAGCGCTTTGTGCCAAACCCGATCGAAGGCCTTCGCAATGTCCAGAATAACGGCCAACGCCTCCCACTTGGACTCTACTGCCTCCGCCCATCTATAGGTCAGGTAGACCAGAAGATCACCAGCTGATCAACCACGACGAAAACCGTATTGGCGGTCACTAATCAGCTGATGATTCTCAAGGTACCGGATGAGCTGGTAGTTGATAATGGATTCCATTATTTTGGAGAACAAGGAGGTGATCGCGATAGGCCTATAGTTGGACGGGTCTGAGCGGTCGCCTTTTTAGGGATCGGGTGGACAAAAGCTGTCTTCCATGAATTCGGGACTAAGCCTTGGGAGTAGGAGTACCGGAAAAGACGCGTTAGGACCGGTGCCAACTCCGCAGCACACGTTCTCAGCACAATTGGAGGGATTCCGTCAGGCCCACTCGACTTCTGGATGTCCAGGGACAGGAGTGCTTTGCGAACCGAGCGCTGTGAGAACAGCACATCCGGCATGGAGCACTCACATCGCGGGATGGTCGGCGGTGTTTTCCCCCCGTCATCAAGAGTCGAGTTGGACGCAAAAAGGGAGCCTAAAGGGTCGGCTTTGTCTTTTGCGGCTTGGGCCAGTGAGTCATCCTTCCTGTGCAGAGATGGTAGTGATGGCTTACAGAAATTCCTTTGGACAGCCTTGGCGAGAGACCAGAATGCACGGGTTCCCGAAGGAAGGCGAACAAGTTTCTCGCCAATTCTGCCTATGTGCTCTGACTTTGCCTTGGCAATAACTCTTTTGAAGGATCTGGAGGCGAAGTTATACTTCTTTTTAAGTGTGCTGGTATTTACATCCCGAGTCGCCGAAGCCGCAGCCCAGGCTTGATAACACTCCTGCTTATTGCGTAATGCAGTCTTACAGGAGCGACCAAACCAAGGCTGAGATCTGCATCCGATGGGTACCACAGATGATGGAATAAATAGTTCCATTCCCTGTAGCACCACATCAGTGACAGAGTCAGCAACAGTGCTAGGATCATCCGGCGAGAAGCAAACTCGCCCCCATGGGTAGGATGCAAAGAAAGACCGCATTCCGTCCCAATCCGCCGACCTGTAATGCCAAACACGGCGGCAACCTGCAGAACGCAACCACGAAGGGAGCATGAGTGGCACCATACTCCAGATCAGCTATGCTTCGTATGGTGAGTGTAGAGAACCGGAGACCCTTTTTACCGGCAAAGAGGCATTCCATCTTAGTCCTCACGGGTGACAACGCATCTGCATCTTGAGTCTTTATTGAGGATAGATGTAGATGTCTATGGGTCACAGTAACCACTTACCATTAGGTGGACTGTGTGCTCGTTTGTCACCCGATCCTATAAAAAAAAGGTATATAAATTATTGCTTGGGTACACCTGACACGTCCTGATACTGACAACTACAGAGTACATTATAATACTATTACATCTGTGGAAAGCTGCAAAGAATATATTATTATAATCAGAGTTTTGGCAGGAACCAGACCGGCGCGGCGGCGTACCTATATTATTGTTTAAATAATGGTTTGAAATGGTATTTGATATGTACAAGTGGTGCAATTTTTTGTGTTAAATGTGTTGTGTAAGTGCTCCGATGGTGATGTGAATCTCAAGATAAGGTGTCTATCTGCTTAAGCGCGTTGAGATACTATCACCAACTGTCTGCTGGCCCGAGTTGCCGTCAAAATATCCCAAAAACTACGCAATGTGACGAACATATTGTGAAGCAGTGTACTATAAAGGATTATTATTTCTTGATACTGACATCAATGAAGATATGGCTTAAAAGACAAACATCCAAGCCAAAATCTTAATAAAAATATATAATCACAACGTTTTTACATCTGTGCAAGAGTGTTGCCAACAGTTAAACTTGCTCTCCTGCAGATTTAACTTCTAAAACCACCAGAAACCCATAAATGAAAAGCGAATCTATTTTCACTATCTCTAAATTTTCCATAGAACAAACTTTTGTTTATAAAGACAGAATACAATATATGTATTAGTAATTAGTTATTTTATTATTACATACTGTGTAACAAAACATTAAATTTATATGTAAACATTCAAAAAATTAACATACAATTAAGAAATCAACATATCTTACACGTGGTGTAGCCATGCTGCAGCTTTATTAGTAGTATAGTTGTAGCATGAATGGGTCGGCTCGACCGGGGCAGGACCACGCTCTCACAGAATACCAGCGTAAAATAGCAGCTTAATACTGCTGTGTTTCGTATAGTGAGTGTAGAGAACCGGAGACCATTTTTACTGGAAAAGAGGAATTCCATCTTAGTCCTCACGGGTAACGACGCATCTGCATTTTAATTATTTATTGAGGATAAATGTAGATGTCTATGGGTCACAGCAACCATTTACCATCAGGTGGACTGTGTGCTCGTTTGTCACCCTACCCTATAAAAAATGTCTACATCAAGGATATATCATTTATTTAACTGCTCTTTTAAATTAAATCTTCTTCAGTTAAACCATTTTTGTCGACACCATCATTGTAGGTTTCAGATAGGTATGATTTTTGGTACCAATTTGTTTTATAATTTTTGCTTATCGGAACTTCAATTTCATTGCAACATTTTCTTACCAACCTCAAACTGCAGCGTACTCTTAATTTGGCAAGTTAAAGGATTTAATTTCATTATATTCCTCTGCTTGTTTTTATTACATTTATTCTACTTTAGTCTTCCTTGGTATAGGAACTTGGCCCTTGGTATTCCGTTGGTATAGGAACGCAGAATTATTAAGAGAGTAATCACAAAATTTGCTAATTCCTCAAATTGGGATTCCACTAGGATGGATTGACTGACGCACTTTCACTTTATGTCTGATGAATCATTTTCGCCTACACAGTAAATACTCCTGAAATGAAGAAGATATATATATTTTGAAACGTTTACTACGCTTTTATGGCTTTATGGTTGAGTGATCATCTTTCTGCTAATTGAAACTGAATTCTACTAAACCACTAGAAAAAAAAGCGGCCAAGTGCGAGTCGGACTCACCCATGAAGGGTTAGCAGCAAGTAACATAATTTACGATTTATGACGTATTAAAAAAACTACTTACTAGATCTCATTCAAACCAATTTTCGGTGGAAGTTTACATGGTAATTTACATCATATATTTTTATTAGTTTTATCATTCTCTTATTGTAGAAGTTCAATTGGGGGGGACACACATTTTACCACTTTGGAAGTGTCTCCCGCGCAAACTATTCAGTTTAGAAAAAAATGATATAAGAAACCTCAATATCATTTTTGAAGATCTATCCATAGCCACCCCACACGTATGGGTTTGAGGAAAAATAATTTGAGTTTCAGTTCTAAGTATGGGGAACCCCCAAAGTTTATTATTTTTTTAAATTTTTTGTGTGTAAATCTTAATGCGGTTCACAGAATACATCTACTTACCAAGGTTTCAACAGCATAGTTCTTATAGTTTCGGCAAAAAATGGCTGTGACATACGGACGAACAGACAGACAGACATGAAGAATCTATAAGGGTTCCGTTTTTCGTCATTTGACTACGGAACCCTAAAAACCACCAGCCATAAAAGTAATATTTCTTCACTAGAAGGGTTTACTACGAACAGGTCAAAACCAACAGTTTTAATGGGAAATCTACTAGGTTGGCAACTTTGTGTAACTGACAGAATGAGTGTCAAGCTGACAATGACAAATCACAACAAGACCAAAATCCAAAACCAAGGTTTTAGGGTTTAGTTTTATGTAGTAAAGAATTTATAACTGAGAAAATAAAATCAAATTCTTTCATTAAATGAGTGGTATTCAAACTAAAATTATTGTGTTTTAAATTTTACCAAGCAAATTTCAGTCATGGATTCTGATAACTTAACAAAACAAGTTTGTTTATAATTCTGAACCTAACCCTAATACTTTTATTTTAAAAATAATGTTATTAAAATGTATTATCTCAATGCCCTCAGATAGAAGAAGTGGAAGCTTTAAGTTCAATTTATGGTGAAGATTGGACAACAGAAAGCGAATCGAACAGGTCCTATAACATAAAAATAAAAGAAAATGATCGTGAAGTTATATTGTATGTAACTATGCCGCCTGACTATCCCGGCCAAGCGCCACCGAAATATGAATTATCCGCTCCATGGATGGATAGAAGAGAAAAAGAAAAACTACATATAAGCCTAGATGAAGTTTACTTGTATGTCTCTAACCAGAAATTTATTTCTTTATTACTAATTTTAAAATTATACTATTAATTCATTAATAGTATTTGTTTCCAGAGAAAATATTGGTGAGACTGTAATATATCAATGGGTGGAAAAAATAAGAGAAACTTTACAGAAAATAAAGCCTAAAGAAACTCCTAAGAAAATTAGCAATAATATTACTGTTGATGAAGTACTAGACTTGGCATCGGTAAATCAAAAATTGGTGATAATATTACATGTTCTTCTATTTTCTTCCTTTTCTATTTTTTAAAAACATCACTCTCATACTAGATTTCTACTTACTTAAAATCCTGGTTGGGCTAAATTTTTTCAGACACTGATTTAGCTCAAGTTAATAACTTATGACATAAGTATTACAATTAAAGTGGATAGATTAAGAGAGTGACTGTGCTTGAATGTACCCATATAAAAATATTATATTAATTACTAATTAAAATAATTACTTTCTATATTATTTAGACATGTAAAACTTTATTAATTATATGACTAAAGGATGCTCCATGCATGCAATAATAACTGATCAGATGTCCTTTTATATAGTTATTTAACATCATGCTCAAATGTTTGCTTATATCATTACAATACGTAATAACTTTTTTTTAAATATTTAAATTACTTTTTAAGTTTATATTCTTTATCATGGCACTGTCATAGAGTGCAGGTGAAAGTAATGAGTCCTTCGTGTTTACATTATTATTTAAGTACACATATTGTCCACAATAAACCTCAGTCATATAATGAAAAAAATTACTGATTTCATGTACATTTCTATCATATTTTCAACATCATCATCATTACAGCCCTTCACAAGTCATCTGCTGGATACAAGCCTCCCTCAAGAAATGCCACAAAATGTCCTATGCAAGCTGGATCCTTGTTATTGGCCACTTCCATCCAATTTATACATATAAATATTTGCATAATTCCCATCCATAGAGCAACATGGGCCACCGACGGACTGGTGGGGAGTAACCATAGCATTTTTCCCTGATACAAAACTGTCTTGTCATTTTTTGTGGGTACAAATCTGCACACACTAAAATAAGTCTGTCACTACAAAACTCACACATAACATTTAATACAATAAACTTAACAATTTCACACACACAGAAACATTTTAACAGAATTTCTTAGTTACAGCGACAACTTGGATACAGATATGAGGGCCATCTGCCAGTGTCGGTAAACACATCCGAAACAACATGGCCTGTATTATTGTAATTTTTAAGTTTAAGAAAAAGAAAATAGCAATAATGTGATTAAAAATTATATATCAGTAATATTTTTTGAAAGGTAATGCCATCTTTTTGTAATTCTGACGATCTTTTGAATTGAATAAACTGGTCGTTTTCCCGCAACTCCACGTCTAAGCGCGTATTTTGCGTGTGGGCAGAAATAATGTGTTTCTTCGAGCCGTGAAATCTCCCCGAAGAAGTTCAACAGTCCTTTAATGTTGCAAGCAACTTCGGGGAGTGATCCTGGTGTGCCGAGATGTTGCACTGCACAGGGGACTGTCTGTAACACCTATGGTAAATAAATGTTTGTTAAAGGTGCAGTGTCCTGTTATAGCACTTGTTACTATCCTGATCTGCGGCTTGTTCAGTCTCGTTAGAACCTTGGTTAAACAACTCTTTATTTCAGGCAGGGCCTCCCTAGCTTGTCTATAGTCTACTAGATTTTTCCAAAGTTGAGCGTGTTGATTAGTGAAGTGTCTATGTACCAGTGAACGAATGTTACCAAAGGTGATTAGTATGATTGGTTCCGGCCCTATAGTAACCAAAGCCAATTCTCTTCTGACCAGTTCGTCTGCTGCATCGTTGCCTCGGAATCCACTGTGCCCATTTATCAATTGCAGAGTCACATTGTTGTGTTTACAAACATCATTTAATTGTTAATGGCATTCATATATTAGCCCCGAGTTCACCACATTGCAACTCAGGGCTTGTAGTATCGCCCTACTGTCAGTCAGTATTCTGATGAAGAATTCATTAACCTTCCTAGCATCTATTGCTATGGCTTAGTTCCCATGACACAAAGTGTCGCCATCTAGTGTCAATTATATTTAATTATATTTGAAAGCCGACGCAGAGATTTCATCAGGCTGGTGCATTTCTAGAACTGTTTTAATAAATTAGGTATAAAATTACTTACAAATGAAGTATAATACCAGCCATAGCATCAGAGCGTCTATCAGAGTAGTTATTACACGATAAAACACAACACTTCATCCTTTTCTACTTAATACTACGAAAATACACCATGGGTGTGTTAGTCCAACCCACTCTCTTCGGCGGAACCACCCCTCCTCTTTTCTCATTTGTCCCCGGCTTGGGACCGGCAATGGCAGAGTTTGACAGATCTCTTTTTGCAGCTAAAACACTGAATAATTCAGTATTATTTTAGGACATAATTTCAACCGCGCAACTAAATCTAGTGGGCAGTGCGGTTGCAACTAGTTTTATTGTGCGCATGGACTTATACTTTGACAAAGGGCATTGCTTGCATATGGCTACTTCCATCCGATCCGCCCGTGACCTGTGTTGCTCTATGATTGTCACCATTGTAGTAGTAGTTTAGAGGTAGATCATTCTTATTAATGCTATACACATAATATCATATAACACTTGGATAAATATTTAAAGCATCATAACTTGCAGTTGGAAATAAATTGTCCAGAAATAACTCATGGTGAAGTTATCGTAGATAGAAAGAGTTCATTTCAAGGTCATGCAGCTGAAGTGCACAGTGTTGATGATGTTAAGTAAGTGTTATTGTTTACTTAGCCATATTATTATTGCAACCATGTAGTGGCAGTGAAAGAATATCCACTACCCAATATTGTCCTATTAAGACACCCATGGAATGATATTGAGTAGTTAATTTTAAAGCTGTCACTACACGGAAAAACATATGTACTATATATAAAAATCAATCGTTAGTCTCGCTAAAACTCCAAAACTGCTCGAATTATTTTTTGTGTGCGTTTGAGTTGCGTCCCTGGATGATTTAGATTTACAATTGGCCCCGGTAGGTGGCGCTGTTGTCGAGTTCCAGAAATCACCAGTATGATATAATTATGCCAAAATACATAACAGCTGTGGTAGCTAAGCACGCTCTGTAATTTTCACAGTACGCGAGCAACCCAGGTTCGATCCCTGTCGGAACCAATGAAATTGTAAATTCCAATTTTAAGTGCTGATTTACCACGTGCTCGGCGATGAAGGATAACATCGTGAGGAAACCTGCATGTCTAAGAAATAAGAAAAAAAATATTTCGAAGACATGTGAAGTTTGCCAACAAGCATTGGGGCAGCGCGGCGGACATTTCCTTGCCCTATAAGCCTCTCAGAAATGAGAGGAGGCCTGTGCCCATCAGTGGGCCGTATATATGCTGTTATTTTACTTTTTTTACTGTAATACATACACATAAGCCGCTCAATTTCACCATCGCACATCGCGACAAAACTCGCGTTACCATCCATACCATCTGGATGATTGGCGGTCCACCACTGTGCTATTTAGAAGAAGTTTTCCCCCTCGCACAACTTCCTTGTGGAATCAATTACCATCAGCGAATTTTCCGGACCGATACGACTTAGGAACCTTCAAGAAAAGAGCTTACACCTTTCTAAAACGCCGGCAACGCATCTGCAATTCCCCTGGTGTTGCGGTTGTTCATGGGTGGCGGTAGTCACTTACCATCAGGTCAGCCGCATGCTCGTTTGCCCCCTCTTCTATAAAAAAAAACATAATATTACGTTACGTCACTTTATTTTCGTGCCTAGTTGCCATCTTCTAACTATTGTCAGAATCCGCAATGTAATATAAAACTAGTTGATTTAGCCAGTAGTAGATTATAATTCCTCTTTGATGTAATTGGTACACTTTTTTCACAGTGCAGTCTTGGCAAAATTAAAGCAAAACAAAAAAATCTTAAATGCCACACACAATATGTATGCTTATCGTATTGAAAGGAAGACAGAAAAGGGTACTTCCATGCTTCAAGACTGTGATGATGATGGAGAAACACATGCTGGTGGCAGAATGCTACATTTACTCCAAATATTAGACCAAAAAAATACTTTGGTTGTGGTCTCAAGATGGTAAGATTACTCCTTAATCTTTGTTTTGTTATAAATAATAGTCCTTATGGTTCACCGAGGAAAAATATCACTCAGTCGATAGATACAAATGGCTCAGAACCGTGATTTGTGGCTTTCTTTGAAGAAGAGTTTTGTTGGAGACTTGTGATGGGCTGGAATAATGATAAAAATGATCATAAAGGAAAAAATAACAAAAATATTGTTGTTGTTTTTGTCAGCCCATAACAGTCCACTGCTGGACATGAGCTTCTCCCAGTTCAAGAAGAATTTGCTGTTATTGCTGTGCTTGATTGACTGGCAGATTTACACTGTTTCCTGTAATCTGGTATATTAGAGACCATCTTTTACGTGGTAGAGCCATGCTGCAGCTATATTAGTAGTATAGCTGTCGCACGAATGGGTCGGCTCGACCGGGGAAGGACCACGCTCTTACAGAAAACCAGCGTAAAATAGCAGCTTAACGCCACTGTTTCGTTTGGTGAATGTAGAGAACCGGAGACCCTTTTTACTGGCAAAGAGGCATTCCATCTTAGTCCTCACGGGTGACAACGCATCTGCATCTTGAGTCTTTATTGAGGATAGATATAGATGTCTATGGGTCACAGTAACCACTTATCATCAGGTGGACTGTGTGCTCGTTTGTCACCCGATACTATAAAAAAAATTAATTCATTTATTACACCCTATAAAATCCCACTGCTGAACACAAGCCTCACGTCACGTCTAATGAAGTCAACGCTACGTCCTCCTCGTTCTCTAATCCAAAGTCCCGAAATCTCAGCTCGTGTTACTAAGCCGTTAGCAGTGCCTAGAATACTGCAATGCAGTGGACGATATGAATGACAAGCTCGTGTAAACTGTCCATGTCATGGCTATTAGACGGGAAATGAATCTGCAGTCTTCAGAAGATTTGACAGCATACAGGCAACTGAACAGTAATATAAAATGTAGGCTCGTCTGTTGCAGTGTAAGATTGTGGAATTCAGCAGCTGAAATTATTCCGATCAATTTCTCTGAGCACTACCTGTGGTATATGCGGTAGAAGAGAAGAGAGATGCAACGCCTCTTTGCGAGGCCAATGGATCAAGCCGATTGGAAAGAACCTGGTCATCCACGATTCGGGCCGTCCTCCGTTGAATACGGATAAGTAGAAGGAGCTGATACGGGGGTGCCCTGGCCCAGAAATAAGAACAGTATTTGACATGAGGCCGAACCTGCACTTTGTCTCCACAAAGCGTAGGTTCGGCCTCATGTGAAAAACAGGCTAAACTGGATCAAAAAATAACTTTCTATTTTTTGATCCAGTTTAGCCTGCCCTTCTAAGTAACTGCGGAACTGTAGGTCTCTCGAAATGTCGACGCCAAAGATTCCTATATTGGCCGAAGCAACGAGGGGAGTGCCCTGAAATTGAGAAGATAAGACAAGGGGGATATAAAAAATATTATTTTTGGAGGTAAATGCGCAAAACTTTGTCTTTTGGGGGTTAAACTGGACTAGATTTAGTCGCCAATAATCCGAGACTTCAGATAAGTTTGTTCCGGCACTGGACGACGTGTTCCCGAGAAATATTATCACGGCCGGTGTATAAAGCACCGCCAGTTATGTCGTCTGCATAACAATGAATGTTACTAGTGTGCAAAAACATATCATTGATATGCAGAAGGAACAGGGGTAGCTGTTCAATATCAATGATATGTTGCATTGCGATCGCACACAGCCTTGTGGAACACCAGCATTCACAGGCTTGGAATCGGGACATGCACCGTCGACTACGGCCTTAATACTACGATCTGTAATAAAACTGGTGACCTAATTGTATAATTTCTCGGGAAGCTTTAAAAGAAGCGCTTTGTGCCAAATCCAATCGAAGCCCTTCGCTATGTCCAAATTAACCGCCAAGGCCTTCCACTTGGTTTCGACTGCCTCCACCCATCAATAATTCAGTTAGACAAGAAGATCACCACCTGAGCGACTTCGACAGACATCGACGGTACCTCATGATCTGACAGATAATAATGGATTTCATTATTATTGAGAACAAGTAGATGATGGCGATAGGCCTGTAGTTATACGGTTCCGAGCGGTCATCTTTTTTTGGGATCGGGTGCACTAAAGCTGTCTTCCATGAGCTTGGATCGACTCCTAAATAGTAAGAGAACCGTTAAAGTTGTATAAGAAGTAGTGATAACTCTGGAACACATGTCTTTAGCACAATTGGGGGATTGCATCAGGCCCTTTACTGCAGCACTGCGCATTGTGTGAACTAAACATTCTACTCTGGGATGGTCAGCAGTAGATTCCCTCCATCGTCGAGTTGGACGCAAAAAGAAAACTAACCTAAAAGGAACTAAACTAAAAAAAAAACTAAACTAACCTAACTTAAAAGATCGGCCTTCTCCTTTGTGACATGGGGCAGCCTTGGCGAGAGAACAGAATGCACGTGTTCCCGAAGGAAGGCGAACTAATTTCTCGCCAATTCTGTCAGTGTGCTCCGACTTTGCCCTAGCGATAACTCTTTTGAAGGACCTGGAGGCAGAGTTTGTAACACTCCTGTTTTTGCCGCGACGCAATTTTGCAGAAGCGATCAGTCCAAGCCTGGGATCTGCCGCCGATAGGCACTACAGGTGACGAGATGAAACTTTCCATCCCCTGAAGCACCACATCGGCGACAAACTCAGGAACAATGTTGGGATCATCCAGCGGGAAGCAAATCCGCCCGGGTAAGGTGCATAAAAAGCCAGAATCGCATCCCAATTCACTGCTCTATAGTGCCACACACGGCGACAGCCTACAGATCAGACAGTGATCCAAAGAGCCAATCCAAGAGGGGCATAAACGAAAACCTGATATATCTGTCCGGATGTGAGGTCAGCAGAACGGCCAACAGAGAAGGTGCATGGTCCTCAACAAGTCTTCGAAAAAGTTATAAACAGATCTACCTATATGATCGATAGTACGAAAACCGAACCATTCGGAATGGTGGGCATTGAAATTGCCAAGGAGCACGATCTCTACGGATGGGATCAGTTGGAGCACGGTATTTGTATCTGGACGATGAGTCGGTCTGTTACCGCTGTGGGGTCTATAAAGGCACCCCGTAGACGCGAGGATGATCTTCACCATCTATGTGTAGCCACAGGATGGATAGGTCCCTGCCTTCAAGACTACCGAGGCGTCGAGAACAGATGATATCCTATCTGACATAGACACAAACTCCAACCCGAGGTGCAATGCAGTGTTCCAGTTTGTAATCTGGATAAGATAAATAAGATGTATCAGCCAGAGAAGAGCAAGGCCGGCTTTGCCGTTTTGAAATGGTGGTGGACAGTGTTAATGCAGAATACGCCGGGCAGCCTGAGCATCCACGCCCAGGAGAAAGATAGTTTGAGCGTGGATACCCAGTTAGCGATTCTCAGAATTATCGATGCTGGTACCCTCCTGAGGTACATTTTTATTTACACCGCTTCCATGTTTTTTTCATCTGAACTATATTATAAATTATAACATAGTTGCCTAATGGCAGGGCGCGGACCGCGAACTCGAAAGGTCGTGGGTTCGAATCCGCCATTCGACTACTGTCGTGAACCACTTCTAACACAAGCATTTTAAGCTTACCAGATGTGGTTAAAGGGAATATTAATGTTTAATAGCATTACTAGTGTTTTTTTTTAAAGTAAAAAAAAAAAGTTAATTTACAAAATACGTAACTGCAATGTATAATATATAGGAGCGCCGAAGTGGTGTTAGCCTCGGGCGCTGTCGACATTTAATCTGCCTCTGCCTATAGAAGTACTTAAAGAGTTTTTGCTTACACATCTTAAGGGCCCCTGTGGCCCGGGGATCCCGTATCATTGATACGGCTGATGCAGCGGTAGCTACACCCCTTGTTACCCAGCTACCCACGGGACGATTATACACCCCATATTATGTTTTTACACCGCCACTACATGGTCATGGTAAAAGATTAGACCGAATTAATTAAATAGCTTTGATTGATTTTAGGTATGGTGGTATTCAACTTGGTCCAGACAGATTTCGCCATATAAACAATGCAACCAGACAAGTTATACAACAAGCTGGCCTTTTGAAGAAATGACCCATATTGTAAAGGCAAAGATGTTAGTAAAAACTACAAATGTAAATACATGTACATTTAATTGTAAATATGTATACCTTCAAGAAGTATGCAATCTGTATATTTCACCTTTGTAATGTTTATATGTGGAAATAAATCTTAAAATATCAATTTCAACAAAGTTTTTTATTGTTTTGTTACAAGAACTAAATTTAAAACTTTATACATACGACTTCAATATGAATATAATTTGTTGATTGTTTGAAAACCCCTCGACCGATTTGGATAAAATTTAAATGGGATCACCTGGAAAGTATAGTATACCCTTTGAAACAAAAAAGAATTTTCTAAATCGGTTCAGGCGTCTCTGAGTAATCGGTGAACATACATAAAAAAAAAGATACTGACGAATTGAATTCTTTTTTGAAGCCGTTTGAAAATTACCTTAAAGGCACTGTCTCTCATTCTTGTTAATGCAATCCTATAAAATGATCATCATCATTACAGCCTATCAGTCCACTGCTGGAAATAGGGTTCCCCGTAGGTTGCCTCCTAGGCGGGATATTTACTATAGTTACCAAAAATGGCTTGGCTATTGTTATCGGGTATAAGGTACGCAGTCAACAATAAAATAATTATGTCAAAGCCGGCGCAAGACAATTCCTCACACTAGGGTCAGACCAAAATAACAGTACAAACTAGTGGCATCTGGCAGTTGGAGAATTATTGTGTTTAATATATATTTCATTGACATAAATCTATCAGTTCAAGTTGAACGGGTACGATACGATTAGAATAGAGCTGATAAACGTGCACACAGTCCACATGTCGATAAGTGAATACTGTGGTCCATAACATCTAAACTTATCCTCGATTAGGAATCAATATGACACATTGCCTGATTGAAAACCAGTACTATCACATACTCTAAGACTATCACCGAGACCGGTCCTATTCGCAGTTACATGTTGCTGGACAGGTGTTCTTTGTTATTTTTTAAATTTATAATGTTGATAAATATCTCGTTTTATTAATATTTTTACCTTTTTACTTTTTTTATAGGAGGGGCAAACGAGCATACGGCTCACCTGACGGTTATTAACTACCGCCGGCCATGAACAACTGCAACACCAGGGGAATTGCAGATGCGTTGCCGGCCTTTTAGAAAGGTGTAGGCTCTTTTCTTGAAGGTCCCTAAGTCGTATCGGTCCGGAAAAATCGCTGGAAATAATCGATTCTACAGAGAAGACACAGTGGTGGACCGCCAATCATCCAGAAGATATGGATGGTGTCGCGAGTTTTGTCGCGATGTGCGATGGTGAAATTGAGCGGCTAGAATTAGACACAAAAAAAAGTGTACGCGCAAACTTGTGTCTTCTGGGGGTTGAACTGGACTAGATTTAGTCGCCCCCAATCCGAGACTTTGTTCAACAAAGTCTCGACTTCAGAAACAAATTTGTTCCGGTACTCGGCGTCGTTTTCCCGAGAAATACTGGCACTGCATAGCATAGTATGTTACAGGTTCGCAACATATCATTGATATGCAGAAGAAACAGCGTTGGTGATAGCACGCAGCCTTGTGGAACACCAGCATTAATAGGCTTATAATCGGAGCACGCACCGTCTACTACGACCTTGATGCTCCGATCAGCCAGAAAACTGGTGATCCATTTGCACAATTTCTTGGGAAGCCCATAGTAAGGAAGCTACGAAAGAAGCGCTTTGTGCCAGACCCGATCGAAGGCTTTCGCTATGTCCAAACTAACGACCAATGCCTCCCCCTTGGACTCGATCGCCTGCGCCCATCTATGTGTTAGGTAAACAAGATCACCAGCTGGGCGACCCCGACGGAAACCGTACTGGCAGTCACTAATCAGCTAGTGCTCCTCAAGGTACCGCATGAGCTGGCAGTTAATAATGGAGTCCATTATTTTCAGGAACAAGGAAGTGATGGCGATAGGCCTATAATTGGACGAATCTGAGCGGTTACCTTTTTTAGAGATCGGGTGCACGAAAGCTGACTTCCATGAATTCGGGACAACACCTAGGGCGTAGGAGTACCGAAAAAGACGCGTTAGAACCGGTGCTAACTCTGGAGCACACGTCCTCAAAAATTGGCGGGATTCCGGCAGGCCCACGCAACTTGTGGATGTCCAGGGAGAGGAGTGCTTTGCGTACTGAGCACTGTGTGAATCGCACAGTGGATAGAGCACTCACACTGCGGGATGGTCGGCGGTGTGTTCCTCTAGTCATCAAGAGTCGAATTGGACGCAAAAGTCGGTCGGCTTTCTCTTTTGCGGCGTGGGCCAGTCAGTCATTCTCCATGTGCAGAGATGGTAGTTTTTTTTTTTTTATAGAATAGGGTAACAAACGAGCACACAGTCCACCTGATGGTAAGTGGTTGCTGCGGCCCATAGACATCTACATCTATCCTCGTTTGCGAATCAAAATGCAGATGCGTTGTCACCCGTGAGGACTAAGATGGAATGCCTCCTTTCCAGTAAAATGGGTCTCCGGTTCTCTACACTCAACATACGAAACACAGCAGTTTTAAGCTGCTATTTTACGCTGGTATTCTGTGAGAGCGTGGTCCTACCCCGGTCGAGCCGACCCAGTCGTACTACAACTATACTACTAATATAGCTGCAGCATGGCTCTACCACGTAAAATAGTAGTGATGGCTTACAGAAATTCCCCAGGACAGCCTTGGCGAGACCAGAATGCACGGGTTCCCGAAGGAAGGCGAACTAGTTTCTCGCCAATTCTGCCTATGTGCTCTTGTTGTACTTTATACTTTAACTGGAATAAACGGATTTCTTACTTTCTTTCTATTTTTTATTTTATTTTATAGGATAGGGTGACAAACGAGCACACTGTCCACCTGATGGTAAATGGTAGCTGCGGCTCATAGACATCTACATTTATCCTCAACAAAGAATCAAAATGCAGATGCGTTGTCACGCGTGAGGACTAAGATGGAATGCCTCTTTTCAAGTAAAATGGGTCTCCGGTTCTCTACACTCACCATACGAAACACAGCAGCATTGAGCTGCTATTTTACGCTGGTATTCTGTGAGAGCGTGGTCCGTCCCCGGTCGAGCCGACCCATTCGTGCTACAACTATACTAAAAATACAGCTGCAGCATGGCTCTACCACGTATAAAACTTTCTTTTAAAGTGCAGATGCATTGTCTCCCCTAAAGAACTAAGATGAAAAGCCTCGTTTCCAGCAAAAAGGGTTTCAAGTTCTTCTACTCACCATACGAATCAGCAGATCCGAGCTGCAATTTAACTGGTGTTCTGTGAGACAATTACAATTATCGGATTGTTACAGCAAAATAATCTTGTATTTACCCTCCGTATATGTAAATGAAACATGGAGAGAATAAAACTTTTATTTTTAAGTTGTATATAATATTACACATAATGTCTCTTTATCTAAAAATCACACTTATTTAGGTATTTAAAAATAAAGCAAGTTGAATCGCCTCTATACAAAACAAGTGCATGTATAAATTATTATTAACAAAGGCTAATTATTTACATTGAATGTTATTTTTTACTGTTTCTTGCATTATTGTCAGCGGTTTTCACAGTGATGCATTTTTTATCTAAAAATTTTAGAAGCTCCTGAAATAAAAAAAAATAAAAGTTAAGATTATTTTAACTGTTTTAAAACGACTCTATCACTTTTAAGGTCTAGGTCTATAAGTCAAAGTGACTGTGACGCCACGAGACTTAACTACATTTAAAATTTAGTAGCGTTTAGAGTATTTGGCCAGTAGCCAGCTTGTTCAAGACGTTACATATTTCCTATATGCAACATGTTACATATCTATACGTTAGTGATTATAAGCAACGGTATAAAATAATCCCCATCCCGTTACCGTTATAGCCTAACAAAGTGCACTGCCGAACTGAAAAAAAAATAGTCCTCACCCACAGATTACTTCATAGGAAGTATATTTGCAATAGTTGTCGCACTTGGCACGCGGGTTGGAGTATTTTTATTTTTTTATTTATTAGGACGACGCTGCTGTCAAACTCCTGATTTGCTTCCATCAGGTACTACACCTACGAGACGATATGGGGTAGTGTATATTCTTACACCGCTACAGTGACACAAAACTCGACGAAGGAAAAGCCTCTGATAAATGGAGAGCCGTGTAGTGGTAGCTAAGAATATCCATAACCTAATTTCATCCCATGGGTGTTGGTTGTAATAGGAGATAGGCTAAAAAATATTTCATAATTTCCGATAGATAGCGGTGTAGCCATCTTGTTACAGCCAGGCGTACAATAAACCAACCGACAACGGGAATCAGCGTGAAAGGTGTGTGGCTTCTGGAACTGTTATCGTCGATCCAACTGCCGAGAGTCACGATTAAGGCAAACCGTCCCAACGATCGGAGAAGCCCGTGTCTAGCATTGGACGTTTGGAGAGACTGATGGAGAAGAAGAAACATAAGACCACAGCTGAACTTACGATCTTTCAAGAATGCGCCAATTGACATGCATTACTTGAAAAGATTTACTGTTGGCAGCAGATTGGTGAGTGCAGGGCCAATACTTTAGACTATAAGTCGGTAGCCAGAGATTCTTTCCGTAATCATCAGATAGGACAGCTTGTAAGCGAGGTTGGTACTTGAAGAAAAACTCAGCACATACCGCTCTTGAACCCCATTCTGTGTATGTTTTTTTTTTTTTTTTTTTTTTTTTAAACTAAACTAAACTAAAACTCAGCACATACCGCTCTTGAACCCCATTCTGTGTATGTTGAATTTTACATCCCTTCTAACCGGCAACGCAACAATATGTAAAAAATATAGTAATACGCCGTCAATTTGTGAACCATGCTTGGTAATTCATTCCCACAATTGTAGAGAGCCTCGACTAATAGTATTTTGGTTTGCGGTTTTCACAATATTGTTGAAACTACAACTTTGTCTTACACTTTTGACCACTCTGCGTGCGAGAAAATATTTATTGCAGTAATTACAATTTCATCATCATCACCATTTATCGTTGCAACTATGGTAAACATCCACCCTAGGAGGCAATCTATGCGGAAAGGCCTATGTTCAGCAGTAGACTTTTGATAGGCTTGTATGATAGGATAACTTCGGAACTTTGTTAGCGCGTTTTAGGCTTCGATGTGTTTCGATGATGCGGCGGCGCTGTCGTCGCGCCACAGGCTGTAATGAATTAATAAAAAAGGCATTTCATGTTAAACAGTAGATGACAATGTATCCGCATCTAATTCACAACTGACAATTTATGACATATATTCTACGGGCCACAGCAATTGCTTTCCATAAGGTGGTCCGTGGGCTCGTTACCCTTATTTCTATTAAAAAAATATATAACAATAAGTTGATACCTTAGGATTGTAGCGGTAGCCATAAGAAACTAGGTCTTTATGTATGACGTCAATGTTGACTGGCTCATAGCGGAGTATCGCTTCCCGTAAGCCGCGACGACACGAGACGTAATTATGGAACGCTATGTGCAACGGTACACGGCATGCATGGACCTGAAGAGTATAGCAAGCATGCTGTAATTTTATCTTTTTCAATAACTCAATTATTTTGATGTTGGTGTCGTTGAAAGCGACTTTGGCTGAAATCGAATTCATCAAACAACAGCTGACGTGCAACACGAGACGCTAACATTTTGCCAGATGACGCGCGTATTGTCATTTGTCTCGGTTCCACATGTAGATGCACATCAAATTTATTGTAGGCATGTGTGCAGCAACAATGTTAATAGTGTGGTAAAAAGTTGGTTAAATCACGTCTACAAGTACGCTATGAAAACGCAAAATTCATCAACCTCTAAACAACCGACGGACAAGGGCGGACGCCCGCTAGTGCCACTATCGTTTCTGAAAATAGTGAACACATTTTATTGTCTTTGTTATTTCTAACCTACAAATACTTGTATAGCAGCTGAAATCAACATCAGCACATGAGGCGAGAGGCCACATGTTATCGAACGATCTATGTTACTGACAGTCAACGATCTTAAATGTAAGTTCCGCGTCGGCGCTCAGAATGACGGGCAGCTTGTTGAGCAACGTGTTGGGCGTCAATTGTTGCCTGATGAATAATGACTACTTATAATCACTCCTCACCACTCAGATATCGCAGATTTGACACACAATACGTATAAGGTGTGACCGTGTAGCTAATGGGGATTAATAAAGTTAAATGTTAGGTTAATGAGCTAAAACGCATATTTTCAGCTTAGTATAAGTAAATACTAGGTAAGCTCTTAGCTTTGAAAGGATATTATCTAACCTCATAATGTTCTTAAAGAAAATATTTTGCCATAAGCTACCACTGCAGCATGGCACTTTTATACGTGGTAGAGCCATGCTGCAGCTATATTAGTAGTATAGTTGTAGCACGAATGGGTCGGCTCGACCGGGCAAGGACCACGCTCTCACAGAATACCAGCGTAAATAGTAGCTTAACATTACTGCGTTTCGTATGGTGAGTGTAGAGAACCGGAGACCCTTTTTACTGGAAAGTAGGCATTCCATCTTAGTCCTCACGGGTGCCAACGCATCTGCAATTTGATTCTTTATTGAGGATAGATGTAGATATCTATGGGTCACAGCAACCATTCACCATCAGGTAGACTGTGTGCTCGTTTCTCACCCTATCCTATAAAAAAAAACTACACAAAGCGGTTGACCCCACACAAAGTGTGGCCACCCACAAAACATAGACTTGTACCATCTGAGTTCTTGCACCTCTTACCAGGTTGTTATTACTAGGTTGATCGATAAGTTTTCGGAATAGGACACTAATCAATGAGTTATGGGAATGCGTTCTATTTTTTTTTCGAATTTTAAATTCGTTAGTAGCCAAGGCCAGAAAAAACTAAATTAAAAACTATACCCAATATTTGTTTAAACTTCACATTTGGCGGGAATTTGATGCGTATGCAAAATGGAGAAACTCGAACTTCGTGCGGTTATTAAATATTTCTGCCCGAAAAAAAATTCTACAGTGTTTTTAAAGAACTTTGGCAGACAATGCTCCATCTTATTCTACAGTGACATACTGGTGCGCTCAATTTAAACGCGGTAGAACTGGCTGCAATGACGATACTCGCTCCGGGCAGCCAACAACAGTCACTACGCAAGAAAAAATTAAAAGAAAATCGAAGTAATTGTTAAGGTAGATCGACGTGTGACCATTCGTTATTTTGCTGAGATTCTAAAGCTTTCATTTGGGACAATTCAGTTTATTTTAACTCATACCTTTAACTTCAAAAGCAAGAGTTGACATTTCAAAGCTAAAGTTAGCAACAATTGATCATCCGATCGAGATTCTTTTTGCGCTGGTTTCGTAACCGTAGATAAAATGGTGTATTTTGGCCTGGAGTCGAAAAACCAAAGCAAGGTGTGGAAAAGACCGAAAAATTATGGCCTCTGTCTTCTGGGATGTGGAAGGTATAATAATGATAAACTATTTAAGTAAATAAATAAAATTGAAGTGTCCGTTTGTAATGTTAAAATAACAGCTTTTTACTAAATGCATATGGAAGTATATACGGCACTAATAACAAAAAAAAATTTAATGTTTTTGTCTATCTGTCTGTTTGTTCCGGCTCTTCTCCGAAACGGCTAGACCGATTTTGACGGGACTTTCAGTGGCAATAGCTGTTATAAGGAGTAACTTAGGGTACTTTTATTTTAACAAAATAACCGCTTCCACGCAAAAAAATTTAATACCCATAAAATCGTAGTAAATTCCACGCAGGCGAAGTAGAGGGGGACAGGTAGTCGTTAATAAAAAAAGCTACGCGATGAACTAAAAAAATAAACGTCGCGGAAAATTGCGTGATGGTGTGCATTTTCATCATGTTAATGCCCTTGCCCATCGATCTGATGTTGCAGGCGCTTACATCCGAACTATTGGGTTTCAGTTGATGCAGCACCAACCATATTCTCCGGACCAAGCTCCGAGTGATTTTCACCTTTTTTTACTCACCTGAAAGAGCACTTGCGTGGTATAAAATTCGACGGCGACAATGAGATGATGTGTGCTGTAGTGGCCTTTTTCGAGTCCCAGGATAAAGCCTTTTTTCCGAGGGAATCAAGCAACTTGCAAAACTGTGTGGCTATTCAAGGTACAATTTACTTATACTTATCCTAGTTTCATTGATTCCCAAAACCTTATTAATCAATCTAGCAGAACCCTAACCTCGACTTCCATGCAGCCTACTTTTGGCTTCCATTGAAAACTTTCTTTCTCATCGATTGAACATTTGAGAATTAGATCTAGGTAAAATTAAATTTTAATTTTGAATTCCAAATTCCGAAATAAATCTGAATTTGCATGCATAATTTAAAATTTATGATAAAAGTCAAACTCCTGATTGCTAAGAATGAGGGCATCCACGAATTATTCTGCCACCAGGACGGCGCCACTTTACAGTGAGGTAAAATATTTGACTGATTTCATAGCGGGGATGATAATTCCTTAGGAAAATGTAAACTTTAAGGTTTCTTTCCGTATCATTACTTATATTTTATATTAATTACATTAGATATGAATAATCCAAACTATAAATGTAACTAAAAGTAGAAAATTTAAAAAAACAGTTATAGAGTGCAAAAAATTAAAAATCAAACCACTGACCCAATGTGTTGTATATTAATATAATACTCTAGATAATGATAACCTATTATTTATAACTAATTTCTCAATTAACAGACATTATATAACAGAAAATATTACCTCAGTCACAACTAGCGACATCTGGTGAGTGGAAGAATATTAGCCCTCAATTACCTTAGTTTTTTCTCTCTTCTGAAATACCCAATCTTCAGCACTACATCCTATGTCTTTTATATCAGGCAGATCTTTTGTTTCTTTATAAATATAATTCTTCATATTGAAATTGGTGCTTGCTGATATATCCTTAGTTTTCTTCGGGCTTTTATGCTTCTCTTGTAAGTTTAATGCCTTCTTAGGAGAATCAAGTTTTAATTTCTTGGGGGCTACAGGTTGCTCAGAGCAGTGCTCTATTAGTGGATGAGTTTGGTTGTACAAATGGGTTAAGAGTTGAATAGCTGAAAATTTAAAAGCCATTCATATATGTTTATTGTATCAGATATATTTATACAATAGTGTTCAAATAACTTTATTATAATAACTTTAAAGATTACAAAGGATGGAATTGATGCCTTTCGACCCTCTCTGCCTGACTGGCATTGTCATAAACTCTGCTGCAGCAGAGATTAATGAAATCCCACTAAATATAAACTCTTGGTCTAGTAAATTTGGAATATCAATAAATCTCTGGAGACCATTAGGTAATGATCGGCAGTTTGCAAAAATATACTGCTATACTGCAGCAATATTATGGTTGCAGCACGAATAGGTCGGCTCTACCGGAAAAGGGCCACGCTCTCACAGAATATCAGCGTAAAATAGAAGTTTAATGGTGCTGTGTACAGTGGTGTTTGTATGGTGAGTGTAGAGAACCGGAGACCCGTTTTACTGGAAAAGAGGCATTCCATCTTAATCCTCACGGGTGACAACGCATCTGCATTTTGATTCGCAAACGAGGATAAATGTAGATGTCTATGGGACACAGCAACCACTTACCATCAGGTGGACTGAGTGCTCGTTTGTCATCATATCCTATAAAAAAAAAATACTCTTTTTACTGATAATATGTCATTCTATCTTAGTCCAACTGCTGACAACGCATCTGCATTTTGACTTTTAAAATCAAAATAAATATAAATGTCTATAGGCCACAGCATCCACTTACCATCAGGTGGACTGTGTGTTCTTTTGTCACTTTTCTTCTATATAAAATAAAAAAAAACTGGTTTAGTAAGTAATTTATAAGTTGGACTGTTCAAGTTGCAGAAACCAGTTGAAAAGTCATGGCCATGTTCAGATCTTTAAATAAAATCAGATATTTTCTCCCAATTAAAACAAAGATCTGCTTCTTGTTTTCCTATGCTAATGTGTGATAGTGTGACATAAGTTAAGCCCTTCTAAGTAAGTTAGACCGTCTTGTAATGCCATCCACTTCATCATCTTATTTTGACCTTATTCTGAATTTGATCACTACTTTATTTGATTTATTTTGACATGCACTTTATCTTCTGAATTTGCGCATGTGGCTCACCTGATGGTAAGTGACTACCACCGCCGATGAACAATTGCAACACCAGGGAAATTGCAGATGCGTTGCCCGCCTTTTCAAAAAAAGAGTAGGATATTTCTTGAAGGTCCCTAAGTCATATTAGTCTGGAAAAATCGCTAATGATAGTCGATTCTACAAAGAAATTGTGCAAATAAGAAAACTTCTAGAAAATTGTCAGATGGTTCCAAGAGATGCAAGATTATGGCGGAACCCATATGTGGTATGCCATAAGGTGGAAGTTTAATATACGCCCCATAATCTTGCAGAGTATACAAGTAATTGCAATAATCTTCATGGTGCAAAACTCTTAAATACACTTCTTGATTACATAAGCGGCTTTAACTAAAGCGACTATTAAACACAGGCTTCATACTTATTTTAGTAACATAAACCATCATTTGAAGTATATGTATACTAGCTGTTCCGCGTATAATTTATGGTTTTAATTTTGTTGCGCGGAACTCTAATTATTTCTCAAAAATATAAGTAGCCTAAGTTACTCCTTATAACATGAGCTATCTACCAGTGAAAGTCCCGTTAAAATCGGTCCAGCCGTTTCGGAGATTAGCCGGAACAAACAGACAGAGAGACAGACAAAAATTTTAAAAATTGTGTTTCTGTTATAGGTACCGTATATACTTTTATATGAAATTAGTAAAAAGCTGTCATTTTGACATTACAAACAGATACTTCAATATTATATAACTTATATATATATATATATATATATATAGGTGATATTTATTATGACTTTATGTATATTTATCTATTTATTAATTATTTATAATGGATTGGCAAGCCGTGGTAAAGTTGTGGTAGCTCAGGGGCTAAGCACTTGCTGCAACCTGGGTTCGATCCCCACCAGCACCAATGAAATTGTTAATTGCAATAATAAGTGCTAAATTACCACATGCACGGCGGTGAAGAGAAACATTGTGAGGAAACCTACAAAGAATATTTCGAAGACGGCCGACATTTCCTGGCCCCAAAACCCTCTCTATAATGAGATGTGCCCAGCAGTGGGACATACATAGGCTGTAACTTCAACTAACTTTAATGGGTTGGCAATCACAGTATTTTTGTTATAGTAGACACTACTGTCAATCTCCTGGTTTGTTTCCCTTTGTCACCTCTTTCGACACCCATGGGACAATATGGGGTAGTGGATACTCTTACACAAATATAGGTTATTTATTATTATATGTGTTTGTTTATTATTATATGTATTTTATTTTGATGCTCATTAACCTTGCATGCACATTTCATTCACCTATCATCATTATTGTACATGGATTACAAATTTTATTATTCATGTCATCATTGTAAAACTTAAGATTTTACTAATCCCAAGGGCTGACTGGTAAAGAATGCTTATAACATTAAGTACACCTGTCTTCCTATTTATATGGTCCATAAAGTTATAAATAAAGATATGAATATATTATTTTATATACATATGTTATATTAATATAAAAATCTTTTGTGGTTGTAGTTAATCTCAAAATATTTTTTTAAAAAGTCTGTGGTCTTACCTCGTTTTCGTTTGAATGGCTTCAAACCATATTTTTCTAATTCTTTATTCCTTTCAGGTGAAGACATTGCTGCATAATCTAACATAGGTGTTACATCCCCCACTTTTACAACATATTCACTATTTGTTGGTGTTTGTACTGTAATATTGTTATCTTTAATAATTGCCTTTATTGGGGTTGAAGATGTGGATTGACTTAGTGTAATGTATGCTTCAGTTGTTTTTATTTTATTATCTTTAATACAAATGTTTGGCAGACAACTTTCACTTAATGATCTATTTAAAGAGCAGTTTTTCTTTAAATTAGTATCATTTTTTGTTTTATTTATGTTGCAAATCTCATCTATAATTGATATACCACCCATATCAAAATGTTCTATTTTTGATTTATGCATGGAATAGTTAAGTTCCTTATCAGATAAATTAAATGGTTCAGAGTTATTACTACAATTAGAAATAAGATCACTCTTGGAACTTGCCATTTGGTTTTTACATGATTCAGTTTCATTGTCGGAAATGTTTGCATATTTTGTGTGAATATCATCAAACTGTCCATCTAAACATTTCTCTTTCCATGGAGCATCAATACAAATTTCATCATAATCTATGGAAACATTATCTTTTTTACCTAGGTTTAGATACTCATTGTGTTTGTGATTTTCAGATGCATTACAAGTATTGAAGCTTTTTTGAGATACTTCTACTGATGAATCTGAAGACTGAGTTAAATCTATATCACTATTTTGTTTGTTTTGATCATATTCATAAGAATCTATAAGAGAATTGTTTAATTTGTTTTTAGAATTGTTATCTAGTGTAGACTCCTCATTAATTTCTTCTACATAAATAACATTTCCTTCTTTGGTCAAATCATGACTTGGTTTTAAATTCTTACATTTTGATGATGTAGGAATGATACTATTGTAGTCATCATATTGTATAATAATGGTAACATCTGATGACTTGGCTTGTGAACTACCAATATCTACAATTGGTAAATCTTCATCTGAGTTAGACGATTGTGTAAGATCCATTGTAATTACATTTTTCTTATTTTCTTTGCAATGTTTCATTGTTTCTACATGTGTATAATCTTCAATCTTCTGTGTTAGTGCAATGTTTTCACTATCAAGGGAATTATGATCTTGACTAATTGGATTAACACATTCAGTCATTTCCATACAATCATTTTGTATTTGTTTAATTTCAGGTACCTTTAATACCTGTGCTGGTGCAATGTTTTCACTATCAAGGATATTATGATCTTGACTAATTGGATTAACACATTCAGTAATTTCCATACAATCATTTTGTATTTGTTCAATTTCAGGTACCTTTAATGCCTGAGAAAATAAATAAGTCTCTAATTTTCGCAAAGACACAGATATACAATCAGTTAAATCCATATAGTCGTTGGTTTTTCTTTTAGTTCTATTACTTGATTGAGACAGCTGGGAACATGGTTTAGTTATATTTGATTGGCTAATAATATCCACAGGCTGTGTCAAATCTACAACAACATCTTGATTGGCATCATCTTCTCTAATATTTTCATCTCCATTTCCTGTGTATATAATAGAATTGTCTATTATTGAAGAAGTTTCGTCTTCAAAGATGTCTGGAGAAAGACTCCTTCCTCTCTGCGGTGAGGAAAGCATTGTTGTTTTATTGCATTCAATTTGTGTTTCAACCTGTTTTGAAGTTCTGTTTACAGTTATGACAGATTTGTCAAGATTTTGATTTATGATAAAATCTTTACTATAACCCTTCTTTTCTTCTTCTTTTAGTAAATTTGAATGAATGATTTTAAATTTATAAATATCCTTTGCTGCTTTTAATGACCCACTGAGTATTGTATCTAACTCAGTTTGAGTACATTCTAGATCTGAAATAGAAACAACTAAATCCTGTTTAAGTTTAGGGCTTGCTGGTCTACCAGGTATTTTAGACCAATCTCTTAGCAAGTCACTTTTGACATAAGAAATATCATGCAGTAATCCTGGTACATAGAATATTTCATTACTCTTCATTAATTCATATTTTATATTTGTTGTTAGATAGTATAGACCACTGTTAATTATATTGTTTTCATATTTATCATTATCAAAAGAATAATCAATATTTTGAAATAGTACTTGGGAATACTTATCAAAAATTCTTTGCTGCCTTTCCTCTTCAGATGTCAATAGTAATTTATATTGTTTTATGCACCGTTTCAATCTCTTACTAGTCTCTGGTTTAAATTTAATCTCAGGTACTTTAAATCCATATTCTTGTAATGTTCTGCGTATTTTATTTGTTCTTTCTTGTGAAGTTAACTTGGTCTGTGAGCTTTCTGCATCTGTCTGATCTCCAGTGGACTGAAGAGACTTTGATAAAGCTATGGCTAACTGCAACTGTTCGGAGTCGACATCAATACCACTTTTTAAACAAACATTATTAAAGTCTTTAGTAAAAGTGACAATACAATTTTTCTTTGATTTAATTAAAGCTCTTATGTCTTTTTGCCCTTTAATATGTTTCCTAGGTTTAGCTTTCTTATTATCTACTTTAAACTTTTGACACCTTTTAGGACCAGTGTATTGGTTTTTTGTCTCTTTGAAGTCTGTGAGACTTTCATCCATAACAGGACTTTCAAAATACTTACTTTTTATAATTTGTTTAGTCATTAATCATAATATGGCAAATACAAACAAACATAAATTCTACATAATTTATTAACTGGCGCACCTATATATCTACATAAATCGAAGCATATATGAAACTACTTATCAGGTCGATCTGGTCTCTCAGCCTCTTCCATAAGCTTTCGTATCATATCGCCTGTTCTATTTCGCAAGCCACTAGCGATCATCTGTTTTCTTTCAACTTCTGTCACAGATTCCTCATAAAAAATGTCTAACTTTTTACGCAATTTTTCTGTTACACTTGAAAATCTGTAAAATAAAAATAAACAGATGAGTTATGTATAACCTTAAAACAATATATTTTTTTAATATTTTATGTAATACTTACTGATATAAAGCACCCCATATAATACCAAAAGTTAATACGCTAAACCCGATTATATTACTAACTTTAGCTGCAGGTGTACCTTTTAACTTTCTAGGTTTCCATTTTGAGGAGTCAACTCCAATAGCCATTTTTAATAATTTTTTATTATTTTATGACAAAAAATGGTAAAATAAGATCTCTACTCATACAGCCTAGTATGACGTGTTTTCGTTCACAAAATTCTGTACAAGATCTACCACTTCTTATTACCTATTTTTTTTACAGGAGAGGTGGCAAATGAGCATACAGCTCACCTGATGGTAAGTGACTACCGCCGCCCATGAACAACTGCAACATCAGGGGCATTGCAGGTGCGGTGCCGCCTTTTAAAAAGGAGTAAAGGCTTTGTGATTTTTTGACAGAAGTCTTGTGGTACAAGATGCTTATATGTCACAATGCGAAGTTATCTTATATATAGTTATCTATACAGGGTTATTTTGCAATAACCGGCCAAATTTGCAGAGATGGTTCAGAATAAGTAAAATAGGCAATGTGGTGAAGAAAAATTAATAAAAAAAAATTCTGTCCTTTTTATCTTTTAAATCGAAAATGCGTGGTAATGCATTATTTATCTGATTTTACTACGCAATTGCCTACTGATCGACCCTTACAATCCTTATCGATCAGTAGGCAAAAACGTTGTTGCCCATAAATCACATTCAATTTGGGATAATTTCAAATAAAAGTAGAAGCCTTATTTACACGTATTTTCAAAAACTGCAATAACGGTATATCATTATTTATATAATTTGAACTTAAGTTTAAAATTTGGCTACTCTTTGAAAGTAACCCTGTATATACAAAAAATAACAAAATGTACATGGTCTACAAGCCCTTCACAAAATGAAGGTCTGCAGTAAATGTCTACAGCAAAATATTTACAATCTTAAAATTACTGGAAGAATTCAAAAATTAGGATTTACATCACTGTCAAATATTTGTGTGTGATTTGAGCTACAATAGTTAAATGTTTAAGTTGTGCTGTCTTCAAAATCATGTCACACTAGACTGTATGGTCTAAAACTTTCGCCTGCCTTAATTTGCAAATCATAACAAACAACGATTTAATTTTGTCAGGGTTCCCAACTTAGGGGTTTCCCCTTTAATTTAGGAGGAAAATAAATGGGATGGGATTTTTTAGGGCTTTTATAGTTTTAAGGACTTTTATACTTTTTCCACTTTAGCTGATTTTTTTTTCTGTGTGAAATGTTTCAAGTTTTGGGCAGTATGTTTTACATTACATTGTTACACGTTTGCAATTTCCTATTACGTAATGAAATGATGCCAAGTGTGATAATGGTCTAAAACACATTACAACGAAATAGTGCATCATTTATCATATTTAATCCATTATGTAAAATGTATGTTTATTTAGTATCCAAATGTATGATTTTATGTCTGTTCTCGTTAGGCATACCTCAAAACAAGATCGTTCAACCAGTGTGTGCTGTCAGTGATCTGAGACGTGGTCCTTCACTGCTGGTCGTATGAGGAAGCTCAAGGCCACTCGGCGAGCTATTGTGACGGCTTTGCTCGGAGTTTCTCTGCATGATAGACGTAAAAACGAGGCTATCCGCAGTAGAACCAAAGTAACCGACATAGCCCAACGGATTAGTACTCTGAAGTGGCAATAGGCCGGCCATAGAACTCGAAGAAGCGACAACCGATGAGGAAGAAACGTTCTTAAGTGGCGGCCTCGTACCGGTAGGCGAAGTGTAGGGCGTCCTCCCACGAGATGGAATGACAACCTAGTAAGAGATGCAGGAAGTCAATGGATGCAGGTGACTCGGGACAGTGCTTTGTGGTATTCTTTTGGGGAGACCTATGTTCAGCAGTGGACTTGTGATGGGATTTAATGATAATGATGAAGAATGTGATTTTGGGGTTTTTGATTAACCTTTAGGGATAAATGTAAATATTTTTTGGAGTTGGTAACACTGGATTCTGAATATGATTTATTTATATTAAAAACTTGTTGATAAATTAATTTCTGTGTAAATAGCTTGCTACATATTTATTTGTTCTGTTCTAAATAAAAGTATTAAACGTAGTGATTATATTCACTTTGAAAAGTATCTTTTTTATACCATGTCATTGTTGCAAACGTTATCTTATACGGAATATCAAAAAGCTTTAGCGTTGAATATTGATACATGTGAAGTAATTTCCAAACTAGCAGATCTAAAGTAGGCAACAATTTTTTTTTATTTCTGTAGGACTGTAATACATTCTGGCATAGGAGTAAAGTATTCTGTGCATTCTGGCGGCCTGCCTGAAATTTGGGAAACGTGCTTTTTGTGTGGTTTTTGTGCATACATTGCAATAAATAAAATCTTTAAATATGTCTTACCACCCATAACTTTATATTTAACTAAACTTTAAATAAGAATCTACTGGTTTTTATTTTTTCTGATAAATTTAATTAAATAAGCTCTATAATCTCTTATTTTTAAAGGCAAAAAAAGGCCCTTAATAATTCATACATAATACAATTCTACTATAAATTAATATATTATTATATCTTAGATACTATAATATTACCACAACTAATCAGTTTAGTTTATTACCACATTGATTACGGAAAAGGGACTTCTTCCTTTTCTTTTCCTCCACTATAATAAAACTCAAGACTCCGGTTCAAAGGGCTTTTGTACACCCTATGTATGACAAGAGCAACCGAACATCATATTGTCCACCTGATGATAAGTGACTACTATGACCCATTAACATCTATATCTAGTGCCTTTTAAGAATCAAAATGTAGATGTATTGTCACTCAGGACTAAGAAGGAATGCTTTTCTACTAGTACAAAGAATAAAATTTTGCTGTTCCATGTCTGTATTCTGTTAGAGTGTTATCCTACCCTGGTCAAGCTGAACCATTTGTGTTACAGCTATGAATAGCTGCAGAATTAGCTCTGCATATTACTATTTACTACTTTATTACTTCATTGAAATTGGATGTACAGACCTGCATCACACTCACTTCATCCATGATATCAAGCTGGTATTGTAGAAATGTTGCAACTAAAGAGTTTGGCATTATCTATAAACGTTTTCATCCTGTATTAACTCTGATCTCAATCATCTGAATCCTCTAAATAAAAATTAAGTTTGTAAAAATAATGATTTCATCTAGTAAATATCTATTTATACATTTTTCAGAGTTAATCTCAATGAAATTAAAAAACCTGGAGAAGTTTTAATGAAGACTTTAGATCGACGCGGTTATACTGTGGAACAATATAGACAATTATTAACTACAGCATTAAATGCTAAAACAATTATTACTTATTACAAGCCACAATGTAAATTGGCAATATTAATAGGAAACAATAAATATAAATATTTGTCCAAATTAGTAACACCATCAATTGATTGTGACTCTTTGGCTTCAAATTTAAAAGGTTTAGGATTTATTATAATTACTTTAAAAAATTTAACTGCTGTTGATTTGAAATCAAATCTATCAAGAATATTTGAATCAATTCCTGAAGATTCTTATTGTAAGTATTTTACTAATTGCTATTTTATACATTGTTTTGCCTGTTAAAGTTAAATAATGAAATTAATGTGTATTTAAATATAAGAAATCATTGTGATTTGGACATCACGTAAATATAAGAAATTATTATTTATAAGTAAATAAATTATCATTAACTAGTTTCTAAAACTATTAAACACTAGTTACATTGTTTCGTGAAAATCATATAACAACCCAACCTTTATATGTGGTAGAGCCACACTGCAGCTATATTAAGGTTGCAGCATGAATGGGTTGGCTCAATTGGAGTAGGAACACACTCACAGAATATCAACGTAAAATCCCAGCTTAATGCTGCAATGTTTCGTATTGTGAGTGTACAGAACTGGAGATGCTTTTTATTGGAAAAGAGGCATTCTTAGTCCTCAGGGGTGACAATGCATCTGCATTTTGTCTTTTAATCGGAGGATCAACGTAGATGTCTATGGGCCACAGCATTTTCAGCATTAGCAGATTCTCGTTCACTGTATTTGTAATGCTATTAATGTATCTTAATAGCCATTTAAGCAATGTGTGAATTTAACCGATTCGTTGCAACACTAATTTTCGACAACTTTTAACTGTGGCAGCGAACAAATATTTCGTGACACATAGAAGTAGATGACACGCCTATTGTGCCATCAGCCATGTGTAAAAATAATGTTCTTTTTTATGCTTTTTTACTTGTTTATACCTGATTAAGTTTAGTTGACATCAAACATCTGTTGCAAACGGAAGAATACTTATTTTTAGTGCCTAACTACGTGTTTTTCTTGAAATGAAGAGTAAGTGAATTTTTATGTAGAGTTTACAAACTTTTTGGATTATTTTTTGAATTATAAAAAAAAAACATTTATATAAGTAGGTACAGCTAAATCACCCTGAAAAACCTTGGTTTTTATTAAATTAAATTTTCACCTAATAATAACGTTTGTTAATATCAAACAATCAAGAACCTTAACTTGGAAAAAATAATTTAATAGGTTTACGATTTATTAATATTTACAAATGTTATATATTATTTAATGTTATACAAATGAAAAATTAAAGCTAATCGGAAAACGTCTAATTAGTAAGAATAGCAAAATAAAAGTGTTTTCAAAAGGAAAAAACTATAGCCAGATGCGCTGGCGCTGTACGGCGGCGGATGAACAAATGACTATTTATTAGCAAACTTTTTTTATGCATGAACGCGTTCTAACTGTTTCAAGCAAAAATAAACCTTATACACATTATTACAATATTATATCACAAGATCACATGGTACTTCGTAGGTCCATTCGGCCAGTAGATAGTAATAAGACGGTACTTCAACCATTTTAAGCAAAATTAAACAATAAGATAAACACATTGTTTTCTTTTTAACGGGAGACTTGTTTACAACTTGAGTTTGTAAGCGATCGCAATGAGTGCTATTATTTGTTACTTATTAGACTATTTTTCCATAACATGATTTAAAAAAACCCATACAGTAAGAAGAGTACCATGTACAAGTTAAAAAAGGTTGACAACCCCTAAAAATTTCAAATTCTCAAAATATCCAGAAACGAAGCTGTAGGCATGAACTACTTGCAGAATAATGAATATTTTGTCCTGGATAAATCTTCCAAAAACGCAAATTGAGCGAGTTATAACGATTTTCAAAATGACACGACTTGCGTGTCATGTGCAACAGAAACGATTCAGTGCTGAATCGGTGAACAGGAAATATCAAATTGCTTTACAATTGTCTAGTTGAGAAGTTGAGGAATAATGAAAACGGTCGAACACATACATGAAGACATAGAAACTGCTAGTCATAAATCTGCTCTGTTAATCCCATAGTCATTCTGTTATCTTCTAGAAAGCTCAATACTCAGTATGTGCAACCCATACACGCTAATTATGAAATCTGATATATAAAAATTAATGTTTGTTCAAATTTTATGCACTGCAGTACCATTCATCAGATTGCGGTAAAATTTTTCATTATATTGTTTGCACTTCTTCCGCATAGGTTATATAGGCATAGTACAATTAACTTACAGTAGGTGAGTAGGTGGCACGCGTATCGTACCGACAAATTTATTTGAAAGCATGGACGTATAAATAAGGTATAATAATTTTTACAAAATTTAACGACGCAAGACGACATATTGATTTTTGTTTTTACTTACGACATCTACTTCTCACGGACGACGTTTGTTGCGTAATGGCGGGCGCTGGACTTATTATTAGTGTGATTGTGTGCGTGACCCCTTGTACGTACAAGCGAGTTGACTTATTATGGGTGCCTCGGTGAGTTGTATAGCGAGATTCAGTCCGCCTTATTGATACGTCCATGTTTGAAAGTTATATGTCATTCAACTTTAATGAAAGTATTATCATTCCCAATTAAACAATATAAATCTTCCAAATTTAAAACTATATTTCCGCAATTATTTCTTCTGCGGCTGCAACGCGCCTGGAAAGAGCTAGTTGTTTAATAAAATCAACATTTCAGGTTTTATTTTTTATGCAGGACATGGTTGTGAACTCTGTAATACAAGATGTATGCTGAGTGTAGACTGTCCAACTGAGGACATCACCATTGACGATTGTGTAACCGAAAATTGGTTACTCAAGCAAGTGGCATCATGTAAGCCTGAATTATGTGTTTTGATTTTGGACATGTGCAGAAATTATTTAGACAGGTATTATAACCATATTTAAAACATTTTATTATGTTAATATCTATATTAAAAATTCGTAGACCAGCTATAGAAAACAACATGAGCAGATCAGATGAGACTTTTCATTTTTGAATTTTGATTTGAGAAGATTTTTGATAAAACACAAGTTAATGGTGTTAAGGAGAGCGTTCACTTGTATTGAAGTATTATGCAGCAAACAAAATTATATTTAAAACATCTTTTTTTTTTCTTAAAAAAAACGCTACACTAGAATTTTGCTATTGTATTTTGGAAGCAGTTAACATACATATATTTCACAAGGAAAAACGTTCAGATCTGGAACAATTATTGGTAGGCCATAAAAATACTTCTTCCAAGTGCAAGTACGCCACGGAGCCGTAGAATAACATCCATTTTGATTTATTTCTCAATTACAGTCATAAGCTGTAAGACCACTGCTGAGCATAGGCCTTGCTATAGATGTATAGAGCAGGTGTGTTAGTGATAACCGCAGTTTTTTATTTTCTCGTTGTTATTAGACGCTACAGCCCATCTCCTGGTTTGTTTCCTATGTCGCCTCTTACGACACCAATATGGGGTAGTGGATACTCTTACACTGCCTCTATGCAGAATACAATTACAGCTAAAAATCCCTTAGCGCCCCATGATACGAGGGTGACACTGAAAGTTCTTAGAAAATCAAAAACTGAACAATCTAGCAACTTATTAGTTTTATTATATCTTTTCAAAATAGTGCCCATTTACAGCAATACATCGCTGCATCCGATGGAACCACTGAGAAAAGCACTTTGCCCACTCGTCCTTAGGGGTCTCTTCGACGGCATTTTGAGACGCAGCCACTGCTTCCTCGGCGTCCATAAAACTTTTTCCTCGAAGATTTTCTTTTATTTTCGGAAATAAATAAAAATCGCAAGGTATATACCTTGCGATTTTTATTTATGCGGCGGGTGACCCAGTAATTCCACGACTGACGTCGCCAAGTAGTCGATTGTTTACTTGGCGGTTTGCGACGAGACGTTGTCGTGGCGAAGGAGGATCCTACTGCGAGGTCGTTTCTCCCGAACTTTTTCCAGGGCAAGTGGCAAACAACTGTTAGTGTACCAGTCTGCAGTAACTATTTTTCGATCCTCTAAAATAATTGGTGCGTAATGTTCTTCCGAAGAACGAGGCCACTATCTTTTTCTCACGCTTCGACCTCTCTTCACTTTAGTTGTGAACTCCTCGGGAGTAAACACCCACACAGCAGACTGTCTCTTAGTTTCAGGATCATAACAATAAATCCAGTTTTCGTCACCCGTAAGTGTGTCGAACACAGCATTTGAGTCACCTCCATTAAATTTTTGAACCATTTCAAGACACCAATCAACACGACGGAGTTTTTGGGTCTCTGTCAAATTATGAGGTATCCACCGGGCACAAAGCTTCCTTACCGCTAAATGTTCATGGAGGATTTTCTGCACTTGACTCATACCGATGCCTAAGCTTGTCTGAATCTGCTGATAAGTCACTCTTTTGTCAGTCTCTATCATACGCCGCACAACACTGATGTTATCTTCAGTCGTCGCCGTAGAAGTCCGTCCCTCACATAGATCATCGGCGAGATTAGTGCGACCACGTTTAAACTCAAAACCAGTTGTAAATAGTGGCACGAGATGGGGCCTCACCGTGAAAGGCCAATCGAAGTCTATCATAACTTTCTAGGTCGACTTAAATGACATCGAAAGTCATAAAAAATCATTATACGAAAATTTTCTCGCGTTAAATTTATGCTGACGTGACACAGACAATTTTGAATTTGCCGACAAATTGTAAACAAATGACAAATTAATAAAATACATACACAATAATATTGGCAAAGAGTTCCATTTTCAAAATTTGAACTTACTTTTTTATTATATCGTTTAAAAGTGGCCAGTTCTAAAAACTTTCAGTGTCGCCCTCGTAACACACATATCTCCTAGCTATGCTCAAACACCTAGCTCGGTAGTTGACTCGGTGTTATCAATACAAAAAAAAATTCAAAAGAATAAATCATATTATGAAAGGAAGAACATGATGTTCATTGGTTATTGCTTAATATTCAACTGTTGTGAAGCAATAAAACAGTCGAGTATTACCCAAAACAATGACGATTCAAAACTAAGAACTATAATATAAGAATATTGTAGTGTAAGTAAGAATATTATAGTGGCTGCACCTTCATCGTCAAATTCATACAATGCCGATAATAATCAGTACTGAATAAAAACATTACAAGGCATTATTTGTGATTAAGTAAGTATGCCAAATATTAAACATAACTATAAACAATATTATTTTAAAATAAGTATATGTGCCCACGATTACTTTCATGTAAAATTTAATACAAAAGATCGTATATCTTTCAAATCATTTCAAAATATTATACTGAAACAAAAATAAACTGGCTTCAGAGTGGATGAATTCATTAGTTTCGAGTTAAATTTGTTAATGGATAGATCATTTTTAACATCAGAATTATGTCCAAAAATCATATAAATCAACAATTTTGAAGCAGAGAATTCCAAAATTACACCTGACGTTACATTTTTTTAATGTGATTTGATTTAGATTACACTACATAATAAATAAAGAATCACGCGTTACTTTGCGCAAATTCATCATTATTAAAGATGAAGAAATTAACTAGATTAAATCGGCGTGCGAATGATTTATATAATTTTGAAATAGTTAAAAATTGCGTTACAGGAATATAAACCCTAAAATCTACGCAGCATTACCCACAATAGAAGACTACACGATCCATCGTAACTTACTCATTAGCTATTCAACGCAGTCGTCCGCAGCTGCTTACGAATTATTACAAATTGAATGTTCGACAACTATAGACGGAACATATGAAGTTAAAACTGGCGATACAGAGAAAATTGTCCCTGGGGCCAGTTTGTATGTGAATGCATTGTGTACAAGATTAGTTGAAAATTTGGATGTCAGCACTTTACTGGATAAAATACATGGAGGTTTGTAATGAGGTTTCTCGCTATCCCATAATGGCATGGTTGGACATGAGCTACCCCAAGTTTATTTACTACAATTAGCAAAGAATTTAATAGACACGATTCTCGTTATCAATTTGTGTAATAAACTGTATAGGCTTGTAAAAGTGAGCCAAGCTACAGAGCGATGTAAATGAATTTTTTTATGACAAATCTTGTGTAACAGTAATTTCTCATTATTCTATAATGACCTGGCCTGACCGAGTCGGTAATCTTTGAAGACTCAAAATTTGAAGTGAAACTTTTTACGGGGCTTTGAAATTCTGATCTGCAACCTTTTTGTGTGACGAAAAGTGGCGGGGGTAAAACTAAGTACCGCGTCATTCAGGTCGATCATTCAAATCGCGAACGCATGCCATTACATACTATAAAGTATATAGTAATACAATTACATGATTATAACGGTCTTTCGTTCAAATACTAATCTATTAATTTTATTTAAGACAGTTAAACAATACACGTACTTATTTTAGAAAGAGTGATCGCATTTGAGTAATAGCGCCATCTACATTTTCTACGTACTACCACGATAGTCAATTTTGGTTCGATAAAATTACTTTACTTATAGATTGAAGTAGATGGAGCTATTAAAAAAATTACAAGGGAATAATTTATGAAGCCTAATAAGGCAGAACAGCTTTTCATTTAAATAACAATTTGTAAATTTTCATTTATATAAATTTTTGTTGACATTATATAAAACTTTGGTTTAATTAAAATAAAATTACATAAAAAGTACATAAATAATAGATAATTACTAATTAACAAACTTTAATGAGTATTTTGTGTTACAATGGGATTTATAATTATTATGTAATTCACTGTGATGAGTCCTTTTTTTTACATGAAGAAATGCCTACGCATACCCGCCTCGCGGGAGCAAAGACGGGTTATGTCGGACTCGCACCGACTAAAACCCCATGGTGTTCCACCCTCGTCGCAAATTGGCAGGGCCACGGGAACACTTTCGCACACATCCGCGGCCCCACCTGCGCTGGCCGCCCCATGGCAGCCTCTCCTCAGGAGAGGACCACTCCTCCCTCATCTCCCTCTCAGGTAAGGCGCACCAGAACACATGGCGCGCCCTCCTCCTAGGCCTCCAACTTAACATGCGCAACGGACGCCCCCGTGTCCAATGCGCGAAGGCCATGGGGCCAGGAAAATCGAGCGCTTGGTAGCACCCGCTTTCCCGACCCCAGCGGCGGATCTGGTCTCGGGCTCCGCCGCCAACCAAGTTTCGGCCGCGGAGGGTAGGGAGAGCGGCGCCTCGCAATACCGACACTCCTCTCCCCCCGTGGCCCCACCACCACCGCCTCAACGGTGCGGCCCCGTTTGAGTCGCGGAGGATAGGGCGAGTGGCGCATCGCCATACCAACACTCCTCTTCCTCCGCGACTCCACCTCGGCTGCAGCTGTAGAGGGAGCGGACACCCCTCCCACCGCAGCCCACCAACACACATCCGAAATGGGCTCGTCAAGCCCACTCGGAGTGGCCACCTCGGGCCGGCCCTACACCTCGAGCCAGCCAAGGGGATCCTCTTTGTTCACCGCGGTTAACCAAGCCACGACTACTAAGCCCCCCCGCCACGACAAGGCGGGAACCCGTACGGGGGGGACTGTGATGAGTCTTAGTGTTGCCTAAGCCGATAATTTCTCTTCTTAACATCAAAGAAGATGATGCACTGTAACACATATTATGTGTTTAATTTTATGTAAATAAATGAATGATATACACAATCTATGCTATTCAAAAGACATTGATGAATAATTGAAATGTTTCCCTGTAATACAAAAGTTTCACTTCTATTGTGTGTCATCACGACACACACTGTTTTTAATTTTTAGTTATTACAAAATGCTGTTGCCCATATTCCGTTTCAATTTCTTTCTGTTGCCTCTTACGACATCCACGAGACAATATGGGGTAGTGGATATTCTTTCACCATCACTACACGGTGGAATATACAAACTTAAAATTTTAATGGAATACGGTCTAATTTCGCCCCTAGATGAATACTAGTATTGAAGTTAAGGTGTAAATTATAAAACATTTTAAATAGATAACTACTCATTATAATTTAAATTGTGTTCAATATAAGTAATTAATTTTACAGATGTTGAAAACTACGCTAAAAGACAAAGACCAATTAAAGTGCAATGTGGAGTCTCAAGGAGATCGCTTTATGATCCTGTTAGAGGTATGACATTAATTTTCAGTGAACATTATAAATATTTCAACAATTAGATTTAAGGAAGGAAATATAAAGCAACCAAAAGCGTTAAATTATTGTATATCATTTTTCAAGTAAATTAAAAAACATTTACTTTGTGTAATCTCCCAAAAATCACCATTCAAAGAAAAAAATTAGAATTCATATCTTTGATTGTCGTCTTCACTAACCTGTAATGGTATGGACCTTCCATTGCTGGTCATAGATTGCACGCAAGTTGCGGAGATTTACCGTTATAGTCACGCTTGACGAGCAAATAGGTGATCGCAGTATAACACCTCTCGTTTTACACTTGCTGCCAATCGTCATCGATCTGATATTTTAGATTTGGTAGTGGTTGTTTCATAAGCAGTTGGATGCTACTTATTTTTCTTTTCTCTTACGAACTCTTACGATAACCGTGGTATAAAATAGGGTAACAGAAAATCTCATATTATTATATTATTACAACTTCATTAGTTCATTCTAATTGTAATAAATTAAGAGTAAACAAAAAGTAAGAGAAACTAATTAGTAACTTAATTAAATTATAACTTTTCAGGAGATGCAGATGTAGTTTTAAACAATTTAAAGGAGGTGCTTGAAGAATACAAAGAAAACTGTGCTGTGTTTTAGATTAAGTTATTAAAAGTGATTAATTATATTACAATATATGTATGAAGTTATATTTTGATATAAAATTTTATGTATTACAAACATTGTTAGAAAAAACCCTTATTTGTCAATTAATATTATGTTACATATTTGGTGTAATTTTTCAATGATAATAAGGCACTCACATTGTCATGGTGGGTCGGTCTTGGGCCACACCAATACCAAGGAAATGTATGTACACACAAAATAATTTGACCCAATAGGAACATTGTCAGTGTTACACTAGGTTTCTCTTATAGAATAAGGGTAACAAACAAGCAAACAGACCATCTGATAGTAAGCAGATGCTGTGGCATAGCCATCTATATCCATCCAATCAAAATGCAGATGCATGATCCATTGACACTCCTGATGAATAAGAGACAGAATGTTTCACTTCCAGCAAAAAGTCTCCAGATCACTATGCTAATCATACGAAATACTGCAGCATTAAGCTGCTATTTTACGTTGTAATTCTTTTAGAGCGGGGTTCTTTCCCGGTCGAGTCGAACCATTCGTGCTACAACCTAGTTCAGCTGCAGCATATCTCTAACACATGTTCGATATGACTTAGGGACCTTCAAGAAAAGAGCCTACTCCTTTTTAAAAGGCCGGCACGTATCTGCAATTCCCCTGGTGTTGCGGTTGTTCATGGGCGGCGGTAGTCACCATCAGATAAGCCGCATGGTCGTTTGCCCCCTCTCCTATAAAAAAAAGGTTATGATAAGATATTATAATCTTAATCAGGGCTCGGAAACCGGTTCAAATTCTAAAATGTTGTTTTTCACAAATTTAGGTTTAGGTAGTAAGAATTAACCGGTTAAAACCAAGTTTTGTAATGTCCCCCCTCTCTCTTACCCCGCTTGCACCTATCTTTGTACGGCTGCCCTCTGTTTAATTCATGAGGTTTTTAGACACATCAACGGTATATTCATTGCATCAACGCGACTGCCTTGTAACGTACTCCCTCATATTTTTTCATCTATCAGAAACGATCGTATTATAAATAACAGATATAAGTTCTGTTTCAATTAATTATGCGTTAGCTTCAGTTTAAAATTAAGTTTCGATATAAAGTTTAATTTGACGTTATATATTTAAATTGGCTTTAATTATATTTAACGCTTTCTATTAAAATTACGCTATGCATCGTTATTTTAATGTCATTAGTTTTAGTAATATGTCGCAATAAATGATGAACTTTCTTAACAGAACACCGATATTTTTAAAACTTTATGAAATTATATGTTATAGTATTTTTTAGAGATGCGCGGAATAGTGATTTTGCCGATTAACCGAATACCGAATTCTATTCGGTTTAACCTGTACCGAACCGGATATTCGGCCGAATTATTCGGTTTGCAATTTCATTGTTTTGCCGCGTAAACAGGTTCTTACATGTCCGCTGCGTGTCGCTACTCGCTAGCTAGACGACGAGCGAGCCGTACCTCACCACACCGCCCGCTACCCGTGCGCACCGCGTTCTGGCATTTTGCTTTGAAACATTGCACGATTATGTTATAGTTAATAACAAATGTGTTTATTATAATAAAAATATTGATTATATTGACTATATTGTGTTTGCAACATGAGTGGACGTAAAAGATCACGCGTGCATGGGACTTTTTTAACGAAATAGAAGATGACAAAACAAAAGTGAAGTGCACTTTATGTAGTTGTGTTATTTCTCGCGGTGGATCAGGGCGCAGCGCTTCGACGAGTGGTATGACAAATCATTTGAAGCTGAAGCATAAAGAACAACTGCCAGCAACCACGTCTACTTCTGTAAGTGCTTCTGAACATAGCTCAGACACTTTGCCAATAACATCGAGTGTAAAATCACAATAATCTATAGAGCAGGCATTTATTACAAATTGGGCCATCAACACGCCATCGCTGAAATGATTGCCATTGACAATCAGCCAATTTAGATTCTGGGAAATAAAGGATTTAACAGGTTATTGCATTTATTGAAGCCTAAATATAAGTTGCCTGGAAGGAAGTATATGAGCGAAGTAGTGATTCCGGCGATTTATGAAAGAGTGAAAAAATTGATCAAGAATAAAATCTCAAAAGCCAAGGCTATTTCGATTACATCTGATATGTGGACTTGCTTGAACAACATGCTTAGCTTTCTGACCTTCATTGCACACTGGCTTGATAAGGACTTTGTTTTACAGCATAGAGTTCTGCAAATGAAACATTTTACCGAGTCTCACTCAGGTTACTATATTCGTTCTGTTTTAGAAGAGTTATCTGCAACTTGGGACATAACTTCACTTATCTACGTGATTATGAGAGATAATGGTCCCAATATGGTGAAAGCCATTAATGAAAGTATGTTTGTAGGCAAGGGGTGTTTTATACATACGTTGCAATTGGCGATTAAAGCTTCATTACAGGTTGAAAACATAAATGATGCTTTGACCTCTGCTAAAAGAATAGTGACACACTTCAACCACTCAAGCACGGCGCAAGAAAAGCTGAAAAATATCCAAAAAGTACTGAATCTTGCTGAGCATCAGCTTGTACAGGACGTCACAACGAGGTGGAACAGCACGTATTATATGTTAGAAAGAATCGTTGAACAAAAACGTGCGATTTCACTTTACATTTCCGACAATTCTGGCACAGTAAATATTCGAAACTGTACTGAAAGGCAGTGGCTGATTCTCAAAGAATGTCTAATTTTATTAAAACCGTTTGAAGAAATCACCAAAATTTTTAACAGAAGCTACAAGAAGAACTTAAGAGTCGTTTTCGAAATTTGGAAGAAGACAAATACTATTGCTTATCTACATTGTTGGACCCCAGATTTAGAATGAGACTTTTTGCTCCTGAAAAATGCGAACTAGTAAGGAAAAACCTTTTTCTAGAAGCCATTCAAAGAAGCGACACTGATGCTGAAAGTTCAAGCGAAGATGAAATTGATACAGAGGAAGAGCTCTACAAGATGTTACAAATTTTTTAGGGGAATCGCATATAGCATTTTGGAATTGTTATGATGAACTTGTGGTGTATATTGCATCACCAGTGCTGTCGTTACCAGTTTGCAACATATCATTGATATGCAGTAGAAACAGCGTTGGTGATTGCACGCAGCCTTGTGGAACACCAGCGTTAATACTACTAAGACCTTGATGCTCCGATCAGTAAGGAAACTGGTGATCTAATTGCACAATTTCTCGGGAAGCCTATAGGAAGGGAGCTTCGAAAGAAGCGCTTTGTGCCAGACCCGATCGAAGGCCTTCGTTATGACCAAACTAACGGCCAACGCCTACCCCTTGGACTCTACTGCGACCTGCGACCTGTATAGATAACATTTTTACAGATGTTAAGCCCTTGCATAAATCAATTATTCAAAATTTAAGTTCAGATCACTGTGGACAGTTAGTATCACTACCTTACATACACAAAAAACAGAAAAATAAGAAAGTTGTGTTTGTTCCAATAAATGAACATCGCTTGGAGAGGTTTAGAAGTAATATAATAAAAAGACTTCCATCACTTTCGTTTAAAAATAGTGCTAATTATTTGTATGCTACATTATTTGAAATTATACGTTGTGAATTTAGTAGAATATTTACTTCTAAAACTTTCTCTTTTAACAGTCGCAAATCATTTAATTAATGGGCGACAGTAGCAATTTATAAAAGTAGGCGAAGGTTATACGAGCTTTATGATGAAAGATCATATAATAGTAGTGTTATATTTAGAGATTATGTAAAAACATATTCTAAAATATTTAAAAAAGTGTGCTCCACTGCTAAGGCTTTACATTTAAGCAACAAAATTAAAACTGCATCCGACAAAATTAAAATGACCTGGAGAATAATAAATAGTGAAACGGGCAAGGTCAAAAAGCGCAACTCGGATTTTCAATTGAATATTAACAATAATTTAACGCGATCTGATCAAGAAGTTGCTATGGCTTTTGAGAAACATTTTACTAATGTTCCTTTTTTGACAACAAAATCATTAAATTCTTCTCCTACTGTCGCCGAATCATTGCTCAAACAAAATGTAAAGGCTTGTTCAAATACTTTTAAATTCCATAGGGTACTGCCAAAAGATATCGTTAAATATTTTAAAACTATTGATGTTAAGAAAACGGCAGACTTATGGGGGATTTCCGTTAAAGTTATTTTATCTATAATAGATACATTAGCACCTTATCTAGCCACTATATTTAATATAAGCGTCGAATCTGGTGTGTTTCCTGATTTAATGAAACATAGTAAAGTCATACCTATATTTAAATCTGGTAGTACATTAGACCCCGCCAATTTTAGACCAATTTCTGTACTACCAACATTAAGTAAAATTTTTGAAAAAATTATTTTAGATCAGATGTTAAGTTTCTTTAATATTAATAAATTGCTACATAATAATCAATTCAGTTTTACAAGGGGTCGCTCGACAACTGACGCTGGAGTTGAGCTTATTAAACATATTTTTTGTGCATGGGAGAATTCAGAGGATGCTTTGGGTATATTTTGTGACCTTTCCAAGGCCTTCGACTGTGTTCACCATGAGACATTAATCAGGAAGCTACAGTACTATGGTGTCAAGAACACAGCGCTTAAACTTATTATTTCATATTTAAGTAATAGAAAACAGAAGGTTATTATCAATGGTAAAAGTTCTTCCGGGTCACCTGTACTAATGGGTGTACCTCAGGGCTCGATTCTCGGCCCATTCCTGTTTCTGGTGTATATTAATGACTTACCTCACCTTGTAGGGGATAGTCATGATATAGTATTATTTGCTGATGATACTTCCTTGATTTTTAAACTTAAACGTCAATCATTTAAATGTGACGAAGTGAATAATGCTATATCAAAATTAGTGCATTGGTTTAACGTTAATAATCTGCATTTGAACGGAAATAAAACTAATTGTGTTAAATTTACAACAACGAATGTTCAAAATCTGAATACCAATGTGTTTTTAAATGGAGAGGAATTGAGCCCTGTTGTATC